TTTGAGAGAAGCTGCGGCATTGCATTGGGTCAATGAGCGAACTTCAACCAAGCAGCTGGTGGGTGCCCCTACAGAGGAGAAAGCTATTGCCAAAACCTCCATTCTGCAAGAGAGCCCGGACAGGAGAGAGAGGACCTAAGAAGGAAGGAGTGGTTGCTACCCAGAGGGTGAGTGATTGCACTTGCTGTAATTCGGACACGCGTAGGCCGCCGACCGTAGCATGGAGGAAGCCTCCGGAGGAAGCCTCCCGAGCTATGCAATGCGAGTGCGCGCATACAGGCTGGGCTATGATGCAGTGATGGCAGAGGCTTTTGGCTCCCTGGTGCTGAAGACATCTCACACGAGGACTGATTCTAATACAGGCCATCTGAGAAGCTATGTACTAGTACGGATTCTGAGCAGGCCGCCGCTGTGCTCTTGGCCTCACACTGCTCGACGATGGTCCTGGTAGCAAGACTCTGATGCCTTGGTAATGAAGAGTCCAGGTCAAGTAGTCCATCCGTTCAGAGAGAGCTTGGGTGTCGGAAAGACGATAGAGACGCTCAATGTGAGCACCATAGATCTGGGCACTCTGAGCGAGCTGAGTCACCTCTGCATTCAGCTGCCGGACTTGCCCATGTAGTCTGACCTGATCCCGTTGCATTTCCTCGATGAGGCGAGCTTGAGCATCTATAAGCTTCTGGGCTTTACTTAGCGCAGTATCCAGCTCCCAAAGTGCCACTCGATCAGCCTCAGTGAAGATCCAGCCCTCTCTGGCATACATGCGTTCAGCTCGGTATGACATTGACTCTCTATTAGCCAGCTATGGAATGATTACGCGAGCAAGAAAAGCTGCTGTGAAAGAAGAAGAACATGTGCAGCTGAGAGAGGAAGGCAAACTGAGGGACAATCCTGCGCTTATTGAAGGCAGTGCAGAATTTTTTGCCTCTATGTGGAGGGATCGTCTCTAGCTGAAGGTGCTCTATGAGCTAGCTGCTGCCGGATGCCTGCTTTGCAAGCGACTTAGCTGCTGGACTACGCTGAACGCTCCCTGGCCTTAGTGAGCCTTCAATGGCTGCCCAGACTGCATTGTCCGTGAGTCCGGACAGGGCTTGATGGAACTTACCCTTGAGATGTTGGAGTTGGACCTGGATGTGAACTCGAACTGGGCCACCTGTCATCTTCTCAGCGATCGGACGTGAGGGCATGAGCCTAGAGATCAACTGTGGGTGCTGCGCAAGCTCCTCCAAGCACGTTTTGAGCAATTGAACGACGTCATCTGCGAGGACTGCCCTTCGTGCAGTGTCATGCACCGTCTTGTCTTGCTCCCTGCTCCACTGCTGGTAGACAGAGGCTGGAGCTTCGGTGTCCTTCACACGCACCACCCAACCCTCTTTCTCCGCATCCACTAGCACTTCTTCTTTGGTCTGGATCTGCTCTACTCTTTCTAAGGTCTGCTCCAAGACCACTCTCATGGCTCGAGTTCTGAACGGAGTAGACAACTTCGAAGCGTCTTTGGACTTCTCCGCATAGATGCTCGGTAGGATGGACAGCTCACCGGTGGTCAGGTACATGACCCAGCTCAGTTCCTGCTGAAGCGTATTCAGCGAGTCCTCATGGTTGATGGACAACCTTGTTAGGGACTGGAGAACTTTCTCATGTGAAACGCCTCGGCCAGTGCCCCGACCCCTTCCTTTGGCTTTCTGCTTTGGCATGTTCTTCGGTTCAGCCTGTCTGATCTTCTTGGTTGGAGAATCATCTTCATCTGGCTCATCCGCACGCTTGGACTTGGAGGGCGCTGACGATAGTGCAAAGGCCTGCCTCATGGCTACCTAGCTGAGTCTATACTCTTACATAGAAGGCCAAGTAGGAACCTCGACATATTTGATCCGAGAGGAGCGTGGTGCGTCTTGGCGATTCACTATCATCAGCAAGGTACGCTACGCTCTCTCTCCAGAATCCCGCTCTGTAATGCCCAGAGTTCCAGTCTTCTCCGATATGAATGATAAAAGCATAGAGGCTAAAAGACACTGCTTCTGTTGAGGTTCCGTTATCTTGAAACATTGGCATCTCAAGAACTGTGTCCAACGCTTGTGGGCGAGAAGTTTTGATTTGCTGATCAAATCTTTGAATTTGCAGGCAAATGATTCTTGTACCCGGAAGCAAGGCAAACACACTACCCCTGTTCGTCCATTGTGTGACTGATTGCTGAAGAGTCGAGAGTGAGTCCGGCGGCTCGGGCAGATACAGAATCAAGCCGCCTTTTTCCTCAACACTTATGCGTTCCTCCGGTTCTGAGATATGAACTCGCGCCTCCCATTTATCTGATGAAAGATCTGGAATGCGCTGAGAGATATGCAACAAAAATTGTGATGCATCCTCCTGCCTGGGTCGTAGTCGCCACCCTGCTAGCAGCGGACGAAGATGTCTCAACCTCCGAACATCCGCATGAGAGGATCTGCCATTTAGGGAACCTATTTCAGTTAGGATGGAATTTAAGGAAGGATCAGGGAACAGTCCATCTGACAAGAGAGAGAGAAGGATATGAACGACAGTGTGTGCATAGCAAAGTTGATGCGGATTATGATAAGCTAGACGCCAGGCAGCGTCTTGCACGGAAGCCGTGGGAGGTGCAGTGGCTGAACGACCAGAGACGCTTGCGGTGTGTGTCAGCAAAGAGGCTCGGCTGCTGGAGGAAGCCTCCCGGGAGGAAGCCTCCCTGCCTCTCTCCTGGCTAATTGGAGGATCTGCACGGAAGAGGTCTGGCAGTTCTACAGACTTGGCACAAGCTGCACTCATGGCATATGTCTGAAGCAGAACCACACATTGCTCTGCATGGCGTACTGGAGCGTCTACCAAAATGCGACAATACCTACATTCCTCTTTTTTGTGCAGGAGGCGCTTATGTGTTCGCATGTTGGCAAGAATGGATTCCGAGGACTGTGCCCAGAAAGCGGGATGAGCTTTCTGAATGTGCTGCTTCACTCCTTTGTGGCCAACAATATATTGCCCACAGAGACTGCAGTTCGTTAATAGATGCTGAGTGACATGTCTCTTTTTTAGTAGAAGGTCAGGGTCCTTCTTAAGTTGTTCCTGCACGCTAGACTGATAGATCATAGCTATGCTTTCTGAACTTGTACAGGATTTGGCTCGTTCTTTCAACTCGTGCAGCTGAGGGCAAATGCCTGACTCCACATGTCTGCGAAGTTGATGCATTGTGCGCAGCTGCCTGTTGCATGCCACACATTGCGGAAGTCCTTTGCAGCTATGCACAGTGACCTGAAATTTTGGGCCTAGCTGATTCGCACGCTGTCCCCCATGCTTCACCAGTGTATGGTGCTGAAGACCCTTGGCGCTGGAGAATTTCCGATCACACAGAGAGCACGGCACCTCCTGGACTGCCTCGGTCAGGTCCAATTGCATGCTCCGAAGCTCCTGTTGCAGCGCAACAATCCTACCTCTAAGTCCCAGATACCACTGTATGTTCTGATCCGGGTTGTGCTTCTGACAGGCATCTAGTGCGTCTTGATAGTTTTTCATCTGGCTGATCAAAACTGCTTGAGGAGTCTGCACCTTATATTGCTCGAACAGAGTCTTCGTGTCAATGTGGCTGTAATGCTGATGTTGCTTAAAGATGGATCTTAGCATCCTCGAGTATTTACTCTGGAGCTTCTGAAGACCTGATGAAGTGATGCCTGTGGCCACAAGCCCATGCAAGAGTGAGGATTCCACATAGACCCTCCAGATCTCCAACTTCTTTGAAGCATCCAGAGCCTTAGTGGAGCACAGGATGTGTCGAAGTAGCTCAAACTTGCCTTGAGCTTGGGCGATCCGATAGTCAACAGTCTGGTCTTTGTAGGATCCATAGCTGAGCTGCACCCCTAGATATGTTAGCTTATGATGAATCGGAATCTTATGTCCTGAGGGAAGGACGATGTGCAGCTGCTTCTCTTTGCGCATCGTGTGCATCTTGCGAAAGATGGACTGCTGAGTGCCCTGAACCATTAGCAAGGCTTTAGACTTCGTTGGATTGACTTCCAGCCCCACGTCCTCAAGAGACTGAAAGAGAGCCTCTATTCTGAGCAGGACTTTCTGAAGTTCAGGAAAGCTCGAAAAGGTTTCCTGAAGCAGGAAATCGTCCGCAAAGACCGTTAGGATGTCCCTAGCTTGCTTGCTGTCTGGGCCCCATTTCTGCTCCATTCTGCTCATGACTAGAAGTGTAAGCGCAGAGCTTGCAACCTTGTTTGATTCCTGAAGAAGTGGGAACTTGAATCTCTAGTCCACTTGTGCCCATGTTGTAGGAGGTCTCACTATGGAGTTGAACTACCAGTTCTTTCGTAACAGGGTCTATTCCCAGGCGATCCAAGGCTGCTAGCAGCTCATGTCTATTAACAGAATCAAAAGCCTTGCTCAGATCAACCGAAATAGTGAGTGCACCTGACAGCTGAGCCTGCCTGGCTCCGCGTTGGGACTTGTGCAGGTCCCTGCGATGCTCTTGACGGAGCTGCTGCGCGAAATCGAGGTGCTGACATGCTTTCGCGATAGCGTCCCGCACCCCCCTCTGCCGTATATACGCAAACTGAGGTTGAAGCTGTGAGCTCACCTGCAGTGCTGGCGCAATGCGAATTTTCACTGCGCCTGCTAGCACTTTTCCTGGCACGCTGATGACTCCTATGGGCCTCAGGTTTGGCATGGCGGTGGCTGGCTTGCCCTGCTTGGGGATCCATGCAATTCTAGGATCCTTTAGATAAGGGGAAATTTCTGATTGAGACACCTCAGAGTTGATTAGACCTGCTATGTGTTCGTGGGCTTCAGGACCTAGACTCTTCCAGGCTGATACTGGAGCTGAGGTGCTGGGGACTGCTTTCCCCACTGGCACTGTCTTGATTTGTGAGGATACCTGCAAGGCGGTGATCGCTGCTCTGGGCACAGCATCTACTGATTGCAAAGGAGGACTTTTGGAGAAGATTTGACTCGAGTATTCGCGCATAGTTTTTAGTGAGGCCTCCGTATCAAGCGGCTCACCTGCTTGATCCCTTAGGTTGACTCTCTGCACTGGGCGCCACGGAGCGAGTTTCCTGAGAGTATGAGCCAGTTTGTGGGATTGTTGCCTTTTATCTTCCTGGGCTTGTAGAAGCAACTGCTCTTGCTTCTCTAGCTTTCTTTGTTTTTGCTGTTTTTTGAAAGTCCGCGCCTCCTCCTTGATGTCCTCCACAAGCTTCTGGCATTCTGGATTATGCTCGGTTCCAGCCCTCTTGTGCGCCTGGATTCGCCGCACTTTCTTCCAATATTCCGGACCTGCTGCTGGCTGAGACTTGCGTGGTGGAGGGTAGTGCTCAGCTGATACACGAACCATCACTTCATCCAGTTCTTGCCAAGACGGTCTCACTTGCATTGTCCTCACCACTGCTTCCGTCAGACGATGTGAGAATGCCTGCCAGTTGTCATCTTTCCGCCGAAAGCTCGCATCCAGGGCTGTGGCATCAAACGGCCGTGGCTTGCTGGGTGTAGGACTGTAAGGAGGAATGAACAGAGTAGCTCGCACTGGAAAGTGTTTTGATCCATCTCTGTAGGCAGCCACAGGAAAGTTCTTATCCGAGTAGGCCTCCTTGGATCTCCTCCGAGCATCGTGCAGTCTGACCAGCAAAAAATCGATCTGAGAGGAATATGTGCCATCACTGTTAACATACGTACTGCGATGGCCAGAAGCCCAAGTGTTCAGCGCAGTTAGTCCACAGGATTTGCAGAGCGAGGGCAGTGTCTTCACATCTGCATTTGCAAACCGTACTCGATGAGGCACACTGGGTCCGATATGAGGACGTTCAGTCACCGCATGCGAATTGAAATCCCCAGCCACAAGCAAAAAATCACGTTGTGGGACTCGCTGAATGCGATTTTCGAGCTGTGTCATCACGTCCTTTCTCCTGCCTCTGTTTTCCGTCTTCGAGAGCTTTGAATCCCAGACGTGCTGGTACAGATTCAGGAGATGTATTCTGGATCTCTGCCACGGGATCATGACGTGCTGCAAATGCCCTGGAACAATGGAAGTGCTGCGAATTTCTGAAAGAGGAGCCAGTGAGCTATGCACCAAGACAACCAGGCCAGCCTTGTGTCTGCTTGTTGAACCACAGGTTAGGACTGACCACGGGCCTGAGCTGTAGACCTGGTCCTGCTGCCAGTGCGATTCCTGCAGGAAGACGATTTTGATGTTCTTGTACTCTGTTGTTGCCAAAAGGGCCAGAATCTCGTTCCAAACTCGGCTTGTAATTGAGCCTGCGTTCCAAGTAAGGACTTCCATGTCAAATTTGTGATGGATCTGTCTGTTCGGTTGAAAAGAACGCTTCTCCGCTTTCGCAGGAGACGCGAATTGACCTTCATGAGCTCCTAGAGCCTGAGCTGTCAGAAGACGGCCTTTGTAAAGTGCTGCTCCCTTCGCCAGGGCAACTTTACAAGCTCTTTGGTAGCTTCGCTTGCCGGTTTTGTTCATGGTTAGCTGACTTCGCTGCGCATGCTGCTCAGCTTCATCGGGGGGCGCTACTTCCCGAAACCCTCGATTCTGATCCATGGCTGGACCCTGGGACTTGGGACCCAGGCACCCAAGAAAGCTCGCTACGGCTACGAGAAATAAAATCCTCATCTTGGGCCAGAATCTTACAACAACAACAACAACAACAACAACAACAACAACAACAACAACAACAACAACAACAACAACAACAACAACAACAACAACAACAACAACAACAACAACAACAACAACAACAACAACAACAACCACAACAACAACCACAACAACAACAAGAAGAAGAACAACAACAAGAAGAACAAGAAGAACAAGAAGAACAATAACAACAAGAAGAAGAAGAAGAACTACAACAATGACAACGACAATCACAACAACCCAACACAACAATGACCAACCACAATAGCCAATCATGTGGCTCAGACAAAGGAACAGACAGCCTGACACTTCTACTCTGTTCCCCTGGCCCGATTCATAATGAAACGTGGTTTGATTCAACCCACACCTCTTCTGCGCTTCGTTCCAAGCAAGTACATTCAGGAGCATCCTTGTCTGGAATTTGTATCAGACCACCCCTGTAGACTCATCAGCAGTTACTGTTTTCAAGAGAACAGCATTTATCCCATTCTGATTTTGGCGAGTCCCACATGGAAGCCGTCTTTGTACGTGACCAGTGTTACACCCAGCTTTCACATGACCATGGCCCCTCCGGGGCAAAGAGTCGCACGAACAGACTGCGGCCCCAACGTTCTTGGTTCCCTTGCGCCGCCACAAAGAGCAGTGGGCGAGGTTTTTTGAAATGGGCGCCTCTTTACTGCGTCAGTAGGCCGGTCTTGTGGGCTGAGTCGGAAGTGAAACAGAGCGTTCACAAGTCTTTTATTACGACAGCCAGCTAAACTAAAGCAAGCCCACAGCGAGACTGCTCTTTTGACTGGTGGTGCAACGGCTGAAGCAGTGTAGGCAGAAAGCTGAAGCAGCAAAGCTGTTGCTGGAGCCCCTGTAAAGGAATCCAACTATGCAAAGCTTCACAGCAAGAATCACCACATTGGGTGATCCAGGGAGTGGAGGGCGGGCAAATTTCTTTAAGCAAGCATGAAGCTGATGCTGACTGGTTGCTAAGCTGGCTGTCGTGCTTGATCCCCAAAGCAGCGGGATCAGCAAGCTGCGAATAAACGCATGTAAACAACATTGAGTAAACACAAGTATCGTTCACAAGTCTTTTATTACGACAGCCAGCTAAACTAAAGCAAGCCCACAGCGAGACTGCTCTTTTGACTGGTGGTGCAACGGCTGAAGCAGTGTAGGCAGAAAGCTGAAGCAGCAAAGCTATCCTGTTTGCGAAGATGTGTAGCAGGATACGCTTAGCCTAGCTGCCAAAAGCTCAGGGAAGCCGTTAAAAGGCTGTCACTCTCAGCATGTCCCCGTAAAGTCTGGGGAGGCTGAAACATATTCTCATGTCTCGTTACAAACGAGGATTCGACCTTTGGCATGTCCCCGCAAAGCATGGCGAGGCCGTAAACAGTCGATGTACTTGGCATGTCCCTGTAAAGTCTGGGGAGGCCGTAAAAGTGAAAGCGCATGGGCAGGATCAATATTGGTCAATCTTGGCAAATGCCCGCAAAGTCGGGGAAGCTGAAAAGGCAATTCGTTCGACTGCGGCATGTCCCCGCAAAGCATGGGGAGGCTGCAAAAGTGGAATACACTTGGCATGTCCCCGCAAAGCCTGGGGAGGCCGTAACAACAAATCCATCCAAATCCGGCACGTCCCAGAAAAAGCATGGGTAAGCTGAAGAAGATCCCTGCTCTTGGCATGTCCCCGCACACCTGTGGAAAGTAAAGCAGCTCATCCGACTTTGGCCTGTTCCCGAAAAGCATGGGGAGGCCGCATGAAACATTGCAGGCCAATAACGTCCCCGCAAGCCTCGGCAGGTTTCGAAGGAAGGCCCGGGGGCCCGTCCCCACAACGTATGGGGCGACCGAAAAAAGATTCTTCAAACATCATTGCAAATGAAGATTCGGCATGTCCCCGCAAAGCACGGGGAGGCCGTAACAATTGTCACAAATGGGCGTGTCCCCGTAAAGTCTGAGGAGGCCGTAGAAGCCATTCCATATGACTTTGGCATGTCCCCGAAAAATTCGTGGGAGGCTGTAAGAACATGGGGGGCACTGTTGGCTTGTCCCTGCAAGTCTGGCAATGGGGCAAAAGCAATTCATTCGACTGTGGCATGCCCTCCAAAGCATGGGAAGGCCGTCAAGAGTCGGCTGAAGAAAAACTGTCGCTCTTGGTATGTTCCCGCAAAGCCTGGGGGGGCTTCCAGTGGTGAAAGGAAGTCGGCAAGTCGGACATACCAAAGCAGAAATGCGCCAGTCTTCTGAATAAAAGATCTAGAGCTTCTTTCTTTCCAACTCCTCGCACAAGGAACGTGCCTCCTCGGGAGAAAGCATTTTACACGCATTACAAACCCAGTCATTCCTTGTTTTTGACCATCTGGCCAAGCCTGCCAAAGCATGGCAGGTCGCCCGATAAACATCCGTCTTCTGCTCCGTAATATACTTGTCTTGGATGTAACTGCGAAAAATGTCCTCCAACTGTGTTCTTTCCACTAAGGCTAGCCTGATCGTAGTTTGCGCTGCTGCCTGCCGAGGAGAACGTGAGCGCGAGCGATGGGATTGTCTCGACGAAGATGACGCCGTGACTCGTAGCTGCAAAGCAAGGGGCTGGCCCCTGCTACACCTGAAAATGCTGGGGGCGCAGACAGGGAAAACCCCAGCGGAAGGGAGATGTCACAAAGGTAAAGGTCAACCCCTGTCTAGAGAAAAAGCAGAAGTCTGTAAAACTCCAGCATGTCTGTTAATGCTACCTTTCACAGCAAACCGCTGCGGGCCCAGCAAGTGGGAAAAATGCAGGGGGCCCCCGAGACCTGCTCGTAAAGCACGCAGCATTCACCATACTGCAGCTCCCAAACGTTCGACACGTGCCACCGATGGATAAAAACTTTCACAGCCCAAACCAGCAGTGATAAGTACCAGCCGATGGAAGCTTGAATGTAACTCGTGAAGGCAGCCAAGCAAACGCTGTTACTGAACGTAACTGTAAAAGCTCATCGTGGCGAGCGCAAGCGAAAAGGCCCCCAGTAAGCAAAACGCATGCAGACACAATGTGTCCTCTGAAAAGCAGCAATGAAATTGACATGAGCATGCGCAGGCCAAGCAACTCACTCCGGAGCTGTAAACTCATTCACGAAGCTGCATAGCAACGCTTGAAAGTGTGCCAAATCTGTAAGAAAGTCAGTCCTGCTACAAGCCGACATTAGCCAACCCAGCAAAGAACAATCCTCAGCTGAGCCTGCGACAGCAGTAAAGCGAACGTCCGTCACGCAACGGCAAATTTCAAAGCTTGGCAACAAGCCGGACGCCCAAGTAACACCCCGAAAGTTACAAAAACAAATCCATCTGGCCCCGAAACGCCAGGAGCGAATCTTTCATGGCGCTGCCTGAAAAGCATTCAAGACAAGGCGGGGCAGGTGGCTGACAACCCCATGTAAGTCACTGTGTCCTTTAAGAAACCAGCGACTTGAAGATATTACAAACAAAATGGGTTCCCGTGCAAATTTGCCCGAAGGCTCAAGCAGCGAAACGGATCCTTAAGATCTGGCAAAAGAAGTGAAACTCGCTAGAACCCTTGAGCCCAGCCTAGAACCTCACGCACTAGTCCCGAAGCTGTCACTCGGTAACCGAATCATCGGGATGTAGCCGAGAATGCAAATCTGCAAGACGATGAAGCCAGTGCCAATTAGCTTGGCTCCCAATTTGCCAGTGAAAGAAGGCCATACAAATGCACTGCCGAAAAAGGCGAGTCACCGAACTCACCGATCTGCCGAGGTAGACGAAATGCTGTAAAATCAACTGCCCATTTGCCGAAGACCGTAGGTGAACAATCCAAGCCTCAACAAAGAGCCCGGCCGATTTGGAATTGTTGTACATTCCCACAAAAGCATCGCAAAACTGCGTGGCACAGAATGCCAGACACCAGTTCCCAATCCGCAACTCAGGAGCAGCGTGAAACGAATCATGGTCCTGTTTGAAGTAACCCGCTTTGAAATGAGCAACGAGGCTCCTGTCTGCACCATGGGCCACCAGCCACTGTACCTCCTGGGTGATGGTATCCAACGAAGCAGCTGCCTGGCTCGCTATGAGAGGCAAAACAATGCGATCCATGGGTGTTAAAGAAGCCATGTCCAGTCCAAAAAGCATTCCTTCCAGCGGCAAAGATCGGCAGAAGCCGAGTTGTTGCGGAAAAGCAACAACATTTCTGTCACCTACCATCGTCGTACCCATCGGGGTAGGTTCTGTGGCAAGAGTAGGACCAGGCGGTGCAGCCACGGTTGTAGAGCTCCCCAGCGTGGGTTCGTGGCACCTCAATCGAAACGAAGCCGCAGTTGCTTCGGTAATTGCCAAACGCACACTTTGTGGCAGACTCGCTGCTGCACGGGTAAAATCCTCTGTGCCATTTGCTGCCACATCCCCAATGAACTCGAGAACAGAGAGAAAAGGAAAAGCAGCCAGAATGGCCTTGATCTGCTCCGCGTCGAGTCTCTCCATGGCCACAAAAGCAAAATAGGTAGTTAGCTAAGGAGCCCCAATTGGCCTTAATGAAGTATACGTGCACATTGAGCAAACAGCTCCAGCTCTCGCAAACATGACAGATGAAAGCGCATGAGAAGACATCGCAAAGGCTTTACCACTCAGGAGCAAAACAACTCCCAAGATCCAAAGCGCGATGCAAAGCCAAAAAATTCTATAGGATGCGGAAGAAAACTTGCAATGCCAAGCAACTAGATCGCTCTAAAGCCGCATTCGAACGCAAACCGAGGAGGAACAATCCTAAGCAAATGCTACCAGCTGCAGACCACAATGCAATTGGCCTGAAGAGATGTCAGTAGTGTACTCCTTGATGCCGAGCAAACCACTTGGTTCTGTCAACGTATTAAAGCCGATACCCAAGAAAGCAGTGCCACACGCTGCGTGTGTGCTATCTCAGG